TCCCTACACAGATGCTCTGTGGGGAATTATTTCTCCTGGGCTGTGAGGAATGTTGTTTTCTCTTCACTTGGTGTCTAGATTACTCCATTTCTATCCAGCCTCCAAGATGAACCCTGATTAAATTCCCATAAAACCACAGGCAGCACCACTCAGTCTGTGGTGCACAGCCTTCCCCAGAGAGGCCTGGCGTCCAATGGCCATCTGTCACCTCCAGAGCACATGTGTGGGAGGCTCCGGGAAAGTCACCCCATCACCACAGCTGTCATCAGCTCAGAAGGGCCTCTTAAACCCTTTGCCCTGTGGTCTGGAGACACTTCCCCAGCTGCTGCCCCCAGGACCAAGGGGACAAACTCATATCATCCAAGCACAGCCCAGGTGCTTTCTCACAAGTAGGTTCAGGAGCTGGCTGCAACCTGGCCCAGAATTGCCTGGCTTGGGGTAGCAGAGCCAGGCTCTGGTCTTGGGACATCTATCTCAAAGTCCTAGGACTGTGTGACAAAGCGGGTACCATTGAGAAAGAAGACGTGCAAAGGTGTGTGCAGGGCAATCTTGCCTTGCTGACACAGTCCCCTTCCTCTTTGCCCCCTTGCCCACCTCAGGCAGTTTTTAATTTCTGGGAGGCTACCATCCTTGGTTTGAATTGGATCCATTCACATTCAGTGCCAGCTGTGCCTCTGGCTACAGAGCATGGGTGCAGCCCTGCCCAGAAACAGGGAAAACCCGAGGCCCAGGAGCTCTGGGGTGAGCCACTCTGCAAGCCTACTGACTTCTTTGTAGAAGGATTTACTGCTGAGGTCACAGGCTGGGGCCACATGCCCAGGCCAGCAGGAAGGAAAATGGTCATTCTAGGTCATTCACCCATGGATTCCCCATGCAGGAATCCATTTCTCAGAAAGTGGCATGGCAGACTGCTAGTTGTCCTCCAAAACTCATTCTCCCCCGTCTTCCTTGGTGACAAAGCTCCTAAATTTTAGCATTTCATCTGGGCACATAGAACCCAGAATAAAGACCACGTTCCCCCACTGCCTAGCAGCTCAGTATGTGACGTAACTTCTGCCAATGACATGTGAATAGAGCATCATGCTGTAGCTTCCAGACCTTTCCTAAAGATAGCCAGGGCTGCTTTCCTGCTTCCTTGTTTCTAGTGCCCCTTCTCCACCCTGATGTCTAGATCACAGATGTGATGGCTGGAGTTTTAGCACCACCTTGGACCAGGAGGGCCACACCACACAATGAGCTGGAAGAAGCCTCAGTCCCTGCTGTCCCACACAGAACCAGGTGACCTTCCTCTGGGCTTGTACATGAAAAAGAAATGAAGATCTATCTCATTTAAGCCACCATAATTTCTGGTCTCTGTTGTTGCAGCAACTTTAATACTAACCGAATGGGCGGGTTTGAGGCTGACAGGTCTGAGGTAGAGAAAGGACCCTGCTTCCCTTTCCAGAATGAGAAGAGCTCAAGGAACGTAAAAGTGAGACGGCAACGACCACGCCGATGCTGCGCAGGCCCTCTGACAGGTGCGGCTGGGAGCTCCGGGCAGCAGGCCTCGCCTTCTCCCTGATGCTCTGCAGGGAGAAGGCTGGCCCCGAGCACAGACCCCAGTCCAAATGCTCCGCTGTTCTTCCTGGAACAGTATTCCCTGTGCCACAGCCCACAGCCCACAGCCCACGGCCAACCCAACCCCTGCAGAGCAGCCTCCCGCCTGCCCATCTTCTCTGCAGCTGCCCAAGATCCCGGGGACAGGGAAAGCAGCTTCAGCACGGGGGCTGGAAGTCTCCACGAAGCCCCTGCTCCCAACACAAAAGCGGTGTCACTTGGATTGTTCTAACTGTCTGAGGAATTTACAAGGGTAATTATAGCTGTTTACAGCACGCCTAACAGGGCTGTGTCCCCCCAGGAATAGCAGGAGTGGGTGGAGGAGAGCCAGGGTTGCGCATCCCAGAGGAGGTTCTCATCTGCACAGGAGAGCCGGCCCTGGGAGGGAGAGGGGAGCCAGCAGTCTTCCCCATGAACAGCCCTGGTGGGCAGGAAAAGGCTCTAGGAAGTCTCAGCCCTAGCTGCCCTCCAGGAAGAATACCAGCCTGGCTTGGTGTGTTCGATAAGGAAAATCCACAGTGGCTCAGTCATGGCCCACCCACCCACACAATTCCTGCTGGCCTCAGACCAAGGCTGTCTTTAGGGTTCGTACACAGTTCTTGCTAGGCCTGGAGGTGGTATCCCCCCGGCAGGCAGCTCCTGAGCTAAGGACATCCAGGTTTGAGGTTTCCTGGACCCAGCAGAGTAGGGTCTGATTCTCTCCACTGGGAACTGGTCACCAGTCCCTCAGGCCTGTGGCTGGGTGTGTCGCCTTGACAACAGGTACAGGTAATGGCAATTAGAACCCGTATCCAGGCCCTGTCTGCACTGATCTATCCAAAATGTATTCTCTCCCTGGCCAGTGTGGCTCAGTTGGTTGGAGCACCGTTCTGTACACTGAAAGGCGGTGAGTTCAATCACCAGTCAAGGCACATACCTAGGTTGTGGGTTTGATCCCCAGTATGGGCACATACAGGAGGCAACTGATCGATGTTTCTCTTTTTCTTTTTCTCCCTCTCTCTCTCCCTCTCTCCCTCCTTTCCTCTCTTTCTAAAAAAATAATAAAAGTCAATAAACACATCCTTGGGTAAGGATTAAAAAAATTATTTTAAATTTAAAAATAATGATTAAATGTATTCTCCTCACCATCTCACACACAAATGAAGTCCCCCCAACTGCACAAGGTGTTCCAAGCCCCCACTCTGGCCTGGTGGTCTGCAAGTCCCTCACATGCACCCCACACTTCAACTCTCCCTGCTTGGCTCACACTCCTACCCTGTCTGGGAAGCCCAGGCTGCCACTCCTCAACACTTGCCCACCAGGGAGATGGCCCTGCATCCTTTGCATCCTGCAAGTCCAGCCCCCCTCTAGTCCCCTGCTTCCCCGACTGTGCAGGCTCATACTCCAAGCCAGGACTCACCCTTGATCTCCAGCCCTAAAGTCTCCAAGATCTAATCCAGATGACTCACCTGCTGCCATCATAAGGGAGCAGCAACACCAGCTGCCATTCCCCAGTGACCCCAATGGGCTCTGTGCCTGTCAGACATCATCCCAGTTATCCCAGCCCCGGAGCCATGGATAAACCACTTACTATCTACATCTTACAGAAAACCAGCAGGGACTTAGCCAAGACCACACGGCAGCTGAAGCCCAGATTTGGATACAACCTCAGTCTGTCTCCACCAAGAGCCCGTGCTCTTGCGAAAGTCTTCTTCGAGGTCCCTCCCGAACACCATTAGAACCATCACTCTTCTAATGGACTCATCAAGGACATGAACCATGGCTGCCAACCTGTACCTCCTCCCACTCATCGGAACTTCTTGTCTTTTAATTCCATCTCCTATCCCTTCACACACAGCCAGTCCAACACACACCTCCTGGAAGTGATAGATTTCCTTTCCAGAATCAATGTTCCAAATCATCACTCTGTATCTTCCTCCTCACCTGGGGACTCTGGCTGGACCCAGGAAAGGAACACAACGGGAAGGGAGTTGACATTGTCCCTGACCACTCCATTTCCAAGGAGGAAAGGGCGCTGGTGTGCTGGGAAAGCCTGCCTACTTGCCCCCACTCCCTGGAAGTCAGGTCCACACTCTACCCCACCCAATGAATGCCAGGCACTCAGAGAAACAGGTCTCGAGACCCCTTACAGGACAGCCAGGTCCAGCACCAGCGCTCCTGCAGGGCACGTTCCTTAAAGACACAGAACTCACCAACTTCCCTAGCCAGGGTCCGTGGCTGCACCTATGCCAGATGCCTGCTAGATGCGGGGCCCTTTGGCCATAGATGTGAAAAGTCAAGCTCAGGGGTTAGGAGCCAAGGAGCCTGAGTAGAGGCCAGGCTGAATGCTGGCTCTATTGCTTAAAGGCTGTGTGATGTCAGTAGGTCTGCTAACCTCTCTGAGCCTCGGGTATTATCTGTAAAATTAGGGAGGAGGCCATGTCCTCCTTTATGAGCACAGGAAGAGAGAACATAAGGAGAAGGGTTAACCCACTACCAGGCACCTGGCACATACCCAATAAATGCTGCTCTCATCATTCCCATAATGGTCCTGTGAGCCAAACTGCCCACTGATCCCACCATCACACAAAACAACACCTGAGGCCAAGCCTCCATCCAGGTCAGGGTTCAAGATGGCATGTGTGGACCACACTCACGGTCTGGATGGCAGAGCGGGGGCTGCCTCTCCTACCCCTAAGATGAATCCCCACGAAGCCCCAGGGCATAGGCAAAGCACCTCTCCTTACAATTAAACAAGAGCTCTCTGCAGGGAATGCTTGAGCAGGCAAAGAGAACTAGGAGGTTGCTGTTAACATGAATCTTTCAAAAATGCATAAACAAACACCTTGGAAAGGCAGTTCCACTCCCCCATAGCTGCCCTGCCTGGGAGGCGGGGAGAGTCAGTCCCCAGGGACAGGAGGCCACAGCTGGCAGCAGGAGCTCCTGCAGTGAAGAGGGAGACTCCTGGTCCTAGAACACGGCGTCCCCTTGAGGTCTAGCTGCCACACTGCACAGCTCCATGCATTTGATTAAATGCCCTTTAATTTCTGTTTGTCTCCTTTGCCTGGTTACATAACTGCACTCGCCCGCCCGCTGGGCTCTTCTGCACACATTCCTGCTCTCTACCACTGTGTTATGGGGACACTTCATCACCAGTCCATGGCTTCACAACAAAACAAAGCTGTGTTGAAGTGGTTGCAGCCACTCCCCCAAAGAGCTCTCTGGGGCTTTTATTTCCTAACTCTGCTGGTCACAGAGGGAGAAGGAAGGGCCGTCCCCAGGATGTGTTGCCCCTGGAATTCAACTGCTTCCAGTCCCAAAATACTTCAAAAGACCAGAGCCCCCTCCTCCCACCCCATGCAATGACTGCCTTATGACCAGAGGTGGGCCACCTGCCCCCGGTTCAGAGCCACCTGTGCCCATACCTTTCATGTAGGCCTCAATCTTCCGGATGAGCTCGTAGGACTTGGAGCGGTCAAGCAGCGTCCTGATGGCAGGAAGGGGGTCCAGGACAATGGTCTCAGGGTGGGCATCGATGTATTCCTGAAAACACATCCCTTCTGGTTAGAGAGGGGAAGCTGACGCTAAAAGGCAGGTGACAAGTAAGGCTTCACCCCACATGCCTCCACATCCCTCCCTGTCTTCTCACTCCCCCAACTCTGGGGCCCCCATCCACTGAGCCCCGCAGATCACGGGACTCTGTTAGACTAATCAGGGCGTTCTGCCACCTAGGGCCACTGGGAGGACGTGTGACGCGAGTCGGTCCAATCAGTGGCAGGCTCCGAGCTCTTGCTGAGAATTCTGGGGAAAGAGCGCTCTCCTCACTAAGACGACGAAGCTCAGTAAAATGACAGGAATCCTTAGAAGGTCTGAGGGAAGGCCTGGCAATGAGATACCTGCACAGGCAACCCCCTGGCCCTCCAGTGCTCACTCCAACAAGTGCTTCTTTAACACCTACTAGCTGCATGGCAGACTACGGAAATGCAAGAGGAACTGTGAAAAGTTGGTCCCTAAGGAAGTTACAATCTTCCTAGGGAAAGAACACTAGTGTACATGAGGAGCCAGAAACTAAAATCTGTAACAGAATTCAACAAAAGACAGAGCATAATGTTTCTAGGAAAAGACCCTAGGGCTCCTGGCCCTGCCACCCATCACCTCTGCGACTGCAGAAGCCCTAAGCCACGAGTGGGCTAGAGCAAGCTTGTCAGGCAGACACAGTAAATGAGACCATCTCTCCAGCTCTGAGACTCCATAGTTCTAAGGATAAAACTGTGGAATGCTGGAGTAATAAGAGCAGAGCTCAGAGAGGAGACTGGGTGTAAGGCAGGCCATTCAGCAGCTGCTGTTACTGTGGAATGAAATGTGTCCCCACCCCTACCCCCAAGAGATCTGTTCAAGTCTTAAACCCTGGTCCCTACAAATGTGACCTTATTTGGAAACAGTGTCTTCTGATATGTAATTAAGCTAAGATGAGTCCATAATGGATTAGGTTGGGTTGGTCCTAATCCATTGACGGTGTCTTTAAGATGCAGAAAATTTGTACACAGATACACGGTGGGGTGGGAGG